GTGATTGACAGGAAAGAGTTTCCTTCTGTGCAGGACATTTTTCAAACCTCTGTGTTTGCTCAGGTCAGACGGATTGTGGGGAGCCCCTATTCAATGGTGCAATAACTGTTTGTGCAATAACAGTTTGTGCAATAGGGCTGATGCAGTAACTTGTACACTTTATGGTTGTGCGGTGCACAAATGGACAATGGACATTAACACTGGACACATGTGTGTTGTGTCTGTTGTGTGACTGTTCTGTATGTGTGAGTGTAACTCTGGGTTTAAGCTGAGCTCAACACAAATTTCCCTTTGGGACAATAAAGTTTACCTTATCTTATCTTAGTAGTACCAGCTCCCTCTCCACTGTGTGCTTATCTTCAGCCTCCTTCAGTAGCAGTAGTAGGAGTAGTAAAGGTGGTAGTAATAGTAGTAGTAGTAGTAGGTAGAAGTAGTAGTATAGTAGTAGTAGTAGTAGTAGTACCACCAGTTATCTCGCCAGCTTGTGTTTATCTTCAGCCTCCTTCAGTAGTAGTAGTAGTAGTAGTAGTAGTGGTAATGGTGGTAGTAGTAGCAATGGTGGTAGTAGAAGTAGTATAGTAGTAGTAGTAGTAGTAGTAGTAGTAGTAGTAGTAGTAGTAGTAGTAGTAGTAGTAGTAGAAGTAGTAGTATAGTAGTAGTAGTAGTAGTACCAGTTCTCTCTCCAGCTTGTGTTTATCTTCAGCCTCCTTGAGCAGGAGGTTGGCCTGGTTCAGCTTCGTCTCCAGGAGCTGCTCCTTTAAGTCGCGGTGTTTAAAAACTTTCTCCAGATTCTGAAACACAAAACACATTTGACTTTTATGAGACATTTTCACACAAAACCTTTTATTTCTACACAAACGTCCTGGCGAAATAAAACACACCACTAAATCTGATCATAAAAGATAAAGGTTTGAACCAGAAAAAAACCACACAAAGTTATAATGTACTTCACGTTTCTGTATTATCAAATATGAGTGTAACTTCACATTTAGCTACAGTGACATTTAAAGATTCACTCTGTCACTTTTTTAGTGGATAGTTAGTAGACTGCTTGGTTCCATGGAGATTATATTGTTTTGCCTAAATGTTCCACAGTAAGGCATTCAACTTACAGCATCTAATATCGCCATAGAAACAAATACCAACAATCCAAGTTACAGGTCAGATCTGTGGAGAGGCGGCCCTGCTCACTATAAGATTACGTGATTTTCATGGTGTTTTTGAGCAATAAAAATCAACTGAATGCAAAATGGATGGTCATACAGGCCAAAAAATCTCCATGGAGACAAACATACTGCAGAACCTCTATCAGAAATGTTACACAATGCACCTTTAAGTTTTTTTCTGTTGAAGAGTCAGCCACCTGCTTGTTACCATGGGGACATTATCACTATGTACTGAATAATCCACAGTAATCACCATGGATAAGAAACAGGTGCAGCAAAGTTACAGGTCAGATCTGTGGAGATACAAATCCACCCACAGTAAGAATCAAAGTTTTTCATGGTATTTTTTGAACAATAAAAACACCTGTATTTGAATAAAGCAAAATAAGATGAGTTTAATAAAGACGTTTAATGCCACAGTATGGAACATTCCAGGAAGAACAACTTTGCTGTGACATAAAACATTATGTTTGAAGAGAATAAAGTTTTCACAACAGTAATAGTAGTATTACTAGTGGTAGGAGTATTCCTTCAGCCCTCACAGCCTCTCTAGCGTCGTACTGTGTGATGTTGTAGTATAGGGTGACCAAACGGCCGGGTTTTCATTACATTTCATGGGGCCATTGAACTGAGCGTCTCTCGTAGCGTCTGTGCATCAGAAGGAGTGAGCAGACACACACAGTCGGTCAGTCTGCAACTTGCCGAAGCACAAATGCACATTTAACAATGACTTGTACAATTCTCCGTTTTCCTTCCCGGTCGCGACTATGTCGGGACCAAGGTCATGTGCACAGGTTACGAGGGGAGAGTAGCTCAATGTGGAGGCCCCGCCCCCACCCCTGGTAAAGTGTCCAAGTTTTCACAAACGGAAATATGGTCACCCGATTGTAGTAGTAGTAGTATTTCTGTAGTACTCTCTTGCGTCATACTGTGTGATGTAGTAGTAGTAGTAGTAGTATTAGCAGTAGTACTATTCCTTCAGTACTCACAACCTCTTTAGCGTCGTACTGTGTGATGTTGTAGCAGTAGTAGTAGTACTAGTAGTAGTAGTAGTAGTAGTAGTAGTAGTAGTAGTAGTAGTAGTAGTAGTAGTAGTAGTAGTAGTAGTAGTCCTGTAGTACTCACAGCCTCTCTAGCACTGTACTGTCTGATGCTGTAGTAGTAATAGTAGTAGTAGCAGTAGTAGTAGTAGTAGTAGTAGTAGTAGTAGTAGTAGTAGTAGTAGTAGTAGTAGTAGTAGTCCTGTAGTACTCACAGCCTCTTTAGCGCTGTACTGTGTGATGTTGTAGTAGTAATAGTAACAGTAGTAGTAGTAGAAGTAGTAGTAGTAGTAGTCTAGTAGTAGTAGTAGTAGTAGTAGTAGTAGTAGTAGTAGTAGTCCTGTAGTACTCATGGCCTCTCTAGCGTCGTACTGTGTGATGTTAGTAGTAGTAGTAGTAGTAGTAGTAGTAGTAGTAGTAGTAGTAGTAGTCCTGTAGTACTCACAGCCTCTCTAGCGTCGTACTGTGTGATGTTGTAGTAGTAGTAGTAGTAGTAGTAGTAGTAGTAGTAGTCCTGTAGTACTCACAGCCTCTCTAGCGTCGTACTGTGTGATGTTGTAGTAGTAGTAGTAGTAGTAGTAGTAGTAGTAGTAGTAGTAGTCCTGTAGTACTCACAGCCTCTCTAGCGTCGTACTGTGTGATGTTGTAGTAGTAGTAGTAGTAGTAGTAGTAGTAGTAGTAGTAGTAGTAGTCCTGTAGTACTCACAGCCTCTCTAGCGTCGTACTGTGTGATGTAGTAGTAGTAGTAGTAGTAGTAGTAGTAGTAGTAGTAGTAGTAGTCCTGTAGTACTCACAGCCTCTCTAGCGTCGTACTGTGTGATGTAGTAGTAGTAGTAGTAGTAGTAGTAGTAGTAGTAGTAGTAGTCCTGTAGTACTCACAGCCTCTCTAGCGTCGTACTGTGTGATGTTGTAGTAGTAGTAGTAGTAGTAGTAGTAGTAAGTAGTAGTAGTCCTGTAGTACTCACAGCCTCTCTAGCGTCGTACTGTGTGATGTAGTAGTAGTAGTAGTAGTAGTAGTAGTAGTAGTAGTAAGTAGTAGTAGTCCTGTAGTACTCACAGCCTCTCTAGCGTCGTACTGTGTGATGTTGTAGTAGTAGTAGTAGTAGTAGTAGTAGTAGTAGTAGTAGTCCTGTAGTACTCACAGCCTCTCTAGCGTCGTACTGTGTGATGTAGTGTAGTAGTAGTAGTAGTAGTAGTAGTAGTAGTAGTAGTAGTAGTAGTATTAGTCCTGTAGTACTCACAGCCTCTCTAGCGTCGTACTGTGTGATGTAGTAGTAGTAGTAGTAGTAGTAGTAGTAGTAGTAGTAGTAGTAGTAGTAGTAGTAGTAGTAGTAGTAGTAGTAGTCCTGTAGTACTCACAGCCTCTCTAGCGTCGTACTGTGTGATGTTGTAGTAGTAGTAGTAGTAGTAGTAGTAGTAGTAGTAGTAGTCCTGTAGTACTCACAGCCTCTCTAGCGTCGTACTGTGTGATGTTGTAGTAGTAGTAGTAGTAGTAGTAGTAGTAGTAGTAGTAGTCCTGTAGTACTCACAGCCTCTCTAGCGTCGTACTGTGTGATGTAGTAGTAGTAGTAGTAGTAGTAGTAGTAGTAGTAGTAGTAGTAGTAGTAGTAGTAGTAGTAGTCCTGTAGTACTCACAGCCTCTCTAGCGTCGTACTGTGTGATGTTGTAGTAGTAGTAGTAGTAGTAGTAGTAGTAGTAGTCCTGTAGTACTCACAGCCTCTCTAGCGTCGTACTGTGTGATGTTTGTAGTAGTAGTAGTAGTAGTAGTAGTAGTAGTAGTCCTGTAGTACTCACAGCCTCTCTAGCGTCGTACTGTGTGATGTTGTAGTAGTAGTAGTAGTAGTAGTAGTAGTAGTAGTCCTGTAGTACTCACAGCCTCTCTAGCGTCGTACTGTGTGATGTTGTAGTAGTGTAGTAGTAGTAGTAGTAGTAGTAGTAGTAGTAGTCCTGTAGTACTCACAGCCTCTCTAGCGTCGTACTGTGTGATGAGGCCCTTGAGCTTCTCGGCCAGAGCGCTGTTCTCCTGCAGGAGCCTGGTGTTCCTGGTGCTGTGTTCTTCGATCTGGGCCTGGATCTCCGTCAGCGTTCCCTGGAAGTGACTCGTGATCTCCTTGCGCTTCAGGTCGTCCTCTCGGCACCGCTGCAAAGTCTCCTCCTGAAACACAAACACACAGTCAGACACGGAGAACACGCTAAGTTCACCACAACACTTTACAATCCCTGTAGTTTAAACTGGAGACAGGTCAGAATCCTCAGGTGGAGTTTGTGTCCACATGAAACAAAAACTGACAAGTAGTAGTAGCAGTAGTAGTAGTAGTAGTTGTTGTTGTTGTAGTATTACTTTTAGTGTTTTGTTGTGCCTCTGTAGCTCTCTGCACAGTGCTGGTGTAGTAGTAGTAGTAGTAGTAGTAGTAGTAGTAGTAGTAGTAGTAGTAGTAGTAGTAGTCACACTGGTTTTAAAATCACTGCATTGGCTCCCTGTGAGTTTCAGGATTGATTTTAAAGTTCTTTTTATTGATTGATTGACTGATTGATTGATAGCATCTTTCAAGATCCCCAAAGTGCTTTACAGTTCATTATTCAGTCACTCCACACTCAGTGGTGGTAAACTACTACTGTAGCCACAGCTGCCTTGGGGCAGAATGATGGAAGCGAGGCTGCCAATCTGCATCATCAGCCCCTCCGACCACCACCAACACTCACACTCACACTCACACTCACACTCACACCACTTTCATACTAGGCAATGTGGGTGAAGTGTCTTGCCTAAGGACACAATGACAGTTTTTTACCACCAGCACCCCACTGTGGCACCTGGAATTCCTAGTGGTCTCCCATCCAAGTACTACCCAGGCCCAGCCTGCTTAGGTTCTGAGATCTGACGGGGTTAGGCTTCTACAAGCCGGTATGGCCACATTTTACTGGTTTTTAAAAGTCTTAATGGTCTTGGACCTTCTTATATTTCAGAACTGCTTTTACCCTACAAACCCTCGTGGACCCTGCGCTCCTCCAGCAACAGCTCCTGGTCATTCCCAAAGTCAGGACACACACACAGAACACTCACAGAGAGGCGTCTTTTCAGTATTAGGGCCCCCGTTTATGGAACTGCAGATGGAGGAGCTCAGGGCTGCAGAGAACGTTTGTGTTTTTAAGAGCAGGCTCAAGAACCACCTTTTTAGTTTAGCTTTTGATTAAAATCTTATACTTTTACTTGTTTCTATTGTACACATTTTATTATATTTATTTATTTTAGGTATATTTTTAGGATTTCCAGTGTTTCCTCTGTAGGAGCGTCTGCATTAGGAGCAGAGGTCAGCTGTGGCTGCTGGGTCTGTCCCGTGGGCTCCTGGTGGAGGGTGGTGCTTGGGCTTCATCTCTCTCCTGGCTCCTGTGGTGGTCCCTGGTGGTGGTGGACGTCTCTCTGCTCCTGGTGGAGACGCCTCCTCTGATGGTGCTTTCTCAACTGGTTCTCCTGTATTCAGCCTCACATTTTACTATAGGTAATTTTATGTATTTTACCATGTTAGGGTGTACATGTGTGTGTGTGTCTGGGTTGTTTGGTTGTGTGGGGTTGGGGGTGTGGGGGTTGGGTAAGTGGGTGGATGGAAATGTGGAATTGTTTTTAATCACTGTAAAGCACTTTGTGTTACATTTTTGTATGAAAAGCGCTTTATAAATAATGTTTGATTGATTGATTGATTGTAGTAGTAGTAGTAGTAGTAGTAGTAGTAGTAGTAGTAGTAGTAGTAGTAGTACCTTTAGTGTCTTGTTGTGCCTCTGGAGTTCTCTGCACAGTCCCTCCAGTTTGCTTCGTGCTAACACAGCTCGGCTGTGCTCAGCCTGGAGCTGCTCCTTCTCCTTCAAAACCTGCAGCAGCTTCTTCTGCAGCAACTTCAGCTGTTTCTGATCACTGCGGTGCTCCTCCAACTGTGATAGACAGGGAATAGAACCAACAACCTCACAGAGACAGGGAATAGAACCAACAACCTCACAGAGACAGGGAATAGAACCAACAACCTCACAGAGACAGGGAATAGAACCAACAACCTCACAGAGACATGGAATAAAACCAACAACTTCACAGAGACAGAGAATAGAACCAACAACCTTACAGGATAACCAGTTATCTAAGCTTTCACACAGGTTAAACATGTACATACTCTACTGGTCAAAAGTTTTACAACACCACACTTTTTCCTGTTTTTTCCTGTTTCCTGTTGACCAAAACATATTCTAAACATTTGATTGATGTGTGTCCATCTTTAGGAGATATAACACTGAACACACTCGTGACTCGTTCTTTTTACAATACAAATCAAATATTGTTGAGAAAGTTCTTCCCAAGTCTGTTGCAGAAGTTCCGTCCATGTGTGACACTTGTAGGTTGCTTCACTCTTCTGTCCGGTTCATCCCAAACCAGCTCCATGGGGTTTAAGTCTGGACACTTTTCAAGCTTTACCATCTTGTTCTTTTTCCTGAGGTAGTTTTGGCAGAGTTTGGTCTTGTGTTTGGTTCTTCTATCTTTTTGTTTTTTTAACCTCTGTCTGTTCAGTTCTTACCTTTGTGTCATTTCCAGCTCTTCATTGGACTTGCACAACTTGAATTGCCGTAAATAACTGGAAAAAATTTGGTGTTCAGAAACTTTTGATCAGTAGTGTCCTGCACTTTAATCGTTAGAACAAATGATGTTTGTTGTGGTTAATAAATGCCTTATAAATGATTTTAGTGAAGAGATTTTTCTCCTCTTAAACAGTAGTGTGCACCCAAAACAGAAGTGCAGCCATTAAATCAGGTCAAAAAATCCATGGACTGTCCCTGCCTTTAGACCAGTGTTTCCCAAAGACTGGGTCGTGACTCTCAGGTGGGTCGCAAGAGATTTTTTTTGATCTGCATGTAGATCTGTGATTTACAGGGCTACATTTAATGCCCAAATAGTCGACTTCTGGATCCTTTTATTTCTGCTTCAGTGACTGTTTTTCATTGTGTAAAACTTGTGTAAAACTAATTGTTCAGAGACAAGATCACCCAGTCAACAATAAAATATCCTCATTATTGTTCAGAAATCCACTTTTATTTTGTGATTTATGAATAATGTTTATTGACTTGGGTCGTGAAGATTTGACTTTTAAAATATGGGTCCCTAGAAAAAAAGGTTTGGGAAACAGTGTTTTAGACAATGGATCACATGTATCGTTTGTGCTAACTCCAGAATATTTATGTTGAAGCTGCTGCTGACTCATGGATCAACAGTGTTGGGAAGGTTACTTTTAGAATGTATTCCCCTACAGATTACAGATTACAGATTACAGATTACACACACCAAAATGTAGTTTGTAACGTAATCTGAATACTTTGGATGAAATGAGGATATTGTAACATAAGACTTTACTTAACCGTACTAAAAATATTATAGAAGACGAGGAGACCCGTCCACGCAGCATGATTTAGTCTTGTTAAATCCTATAGCCCAAAATGTGAAAACAGGAAAATACCACCGTGTAATCCACTTATTTTTAAAAAGTAACTGTAATCCAGTTACTACTCATTAAAACTGTAACTGTAACTGAATACAGTTACTCATAATTTGTACTCTGATTACGTAACTCTGGTACATGTAATCTGTTACTCCCCAACACTGTAGATCAGTATGCACTGTGCTCATCTACATAATATATCAATCAAATGAAAAGATCTGAATACATTTGGAGAGTGTTATCTGTGGGAAAAATGAATGACAATTTCACTTAAAGGTGCATTGTGTAACTTTTCTGGTGGAGGATCCATCAGATGCTTTTCTCCATAGAGATGGTATTGCTAGGGGTGTGCAAAAATATCAAAATATCGTATTGTTTAATGTAGTGATACAGTATCGATATTGTGGGCTGTTGTATCAATGTATTGCCAAGAGTATTTTTTGTATATTGTACTGATTTTTTATTTTATTTTGCAGTTGTTTGTTCATTGGAAGGAAACTTGTTTATGCGACACATTTGACATTTTCACTGTTTTGATGATTTAATGTTTGTGTTTCATATAAACTTTGCACAAGAAGTGGTTTAACAAACACATTTAGTGTGACAGTCATGATTTAGCCTTTATTTACTGAACCGTATCGAATCAATTTAAAATATATCGTATCAAACCGAAAGCTCACTGTATCGACATCATGTATCATGTATCGTATCAGCAACTTCTTAATGATACCCAGCCCTAGTTATTGCTTTGTCTGGAATGTTTCACAGTATGGCATTAAACTTTTTTATTTTCATGGAGACCAAACCAGACTAACTTACAAGTCAGATCTGTGGAGAGGCGAGCCCACTCACAGTCAGAATGTCTGTTTTTCTAGATATTTTTGAGTGGTATGTCACACTGTGGAACATTCCAGGCACAGCAGTGACATATCTATAGAAACAAGCAGGTGACAGAAAAGTTACACAATGCACCTTTAAGGAACCATGTGGTCACTGTTGGTCTCCATGAAGATAAAAAAAAGCTTTAATGCCCGTACTGTGAAACATTTCAGACAAAGCCGGAACATCTCCATGGAGAAAAGCATTTGACGGGCCCTCTACCAGAAAAGTTACACAATGAATCTTTAAGCTCGATATATAGACATTGTACTTTGTTCTGACCAGTTCTGCGTGTTTCTTGATCACAGCCTCCAGCTTCTTCTCGGGCGTCTCCAGTTTGTTGAGACTCTGCATCAGCTGCATGGCCTCTTTCCCTGCAACAAAACCACACCAAACTTTAAAGACATTTCACTTTATTTTACACATAAATTCTCACATCTTTATCTCCACGGGGGAGAAAGAATGAGCGGTATGAAGCGCGTGGGTCAGATATCATAAATAATTCCAGAATTCCGGATTTAAAAGTGCATTTTTATTTCCAGGTGGTTGTAGGAATGTCAGTGTGAAACATGGAGACGTTAAATCAGATCAAATACCTGCACTCTGCCACACTCACAAAAGACACTTATAATGGCTTTTAGAAAGGGCCATAAAAAGAACAAGTGCAAACGTAGAGAGAAGATTTTCACTCCTAAAGGTCCTATAACACACACAATTTAAGCCCTGTTACAATGTTGTTCCCTCCTCAAAAACACACCTGCAGTTGTGTTTTGTTTCATTCACACGTGTTTGAGTAACTCTTTAGTAGTTTAGTAGTTTCACCTTTATCTTTTGTTTATTAGAGATGAACAATTCCAGGCCTAAAATGATCCAAATGATTCTAGTGAAGGTGTATAGTTTAAAAACAGAGTGGAGCTCCTTCTATATCTCCACATGACATCACAAGTTAGAACAAGGAGTGTTTTCTCTTTGAGAACTCAGCTTAAATCTGCAGGGTTTGTGTGTCAAACATGTGAATGAAATAAAACACAACTCCAGGTGAGTTTGTGATGAGGAAACGGCGTTAGAACCGTGTTGTGAAGAGAGTTTAACATGGACCTGTAATAAATGACTTGGGGTAAGTCATAAAACTAGAATCAAATCTGCAGGTGAATCCAAGATGGGCCCAAAAGTAATGTCTCTTCCCCATTTATTTCCTCAATCTGCCTGAGTGACATCTGTAATGTGCACAACTATATATAAAAAATCACTTAAAGTATTAGACAAAAAGCCCACAAATTATCACTATTGCAGAATACTTGACAAATACAAATTCCTAAATTGGGAAAACACAATCAAATATGCAGATTTAATTCTGGTATACAAAGTTCTTGCTCCACCTCCTCTAAAGGAGTTTGTGAAAAGAAATTCAAATCACACAACAAGAGCAGCTCTAGAGGCGATGCTCTGTGCTGTTTAGGAAAAGTACTTTTGGACAAATCTCTTTTGATTATCGAGCAGCTCAAACATGGAACACAGAGAAACTGCTCATGTACGAGAACTTTCAACACTGGCAGCATTTTCTAAAGCTTTAAAACAGTGGTTATTCAATGGTCAAATATGTCACCATGTTTAACCAATTTATATTTTCTTTTATTTTGAGGAGTTGTTGGTTTAACTTTTGGTTTAATTCTTAAACTTTTGACTTTGAACTTCAAATGAACTGTTTGAAACTAATTGTGTGTATAGTGAGTGTGTTGTGTGTATAGTGAGTGTGTTGTGTGTATAGTGAGTGTGTTGTGTGTATAGTGAGTGTGTTGTGTGTAGTGAGTGTGTTGTGTGTATAGTGAGTGTGTTGTGTGTATAGTGAGTGTGTTGTGTGTATAGTGAGTGTGTTGTGTGTATAGTGAGTGTGTTGTGTGTATAGTGAGTGTGTTGTGTGTATAGTGAGTGTGTTGTGTGTATAGTGAGTGTGTTGTGTGTACAGTGAGTGTGCTGGTGTTGTGTACTTTTGTGTGATTGTTGCTGTACTTTTCTTCGTCCTACAGATGATTTTGCATCAACCTGCCGAGGGAATGAAGATGGAAATGAGCCACGTTGGCTATAATCTTTACATATTTACATTTTTAATGTTCATTAATATGTACTGTCCCTTTACAAATAAATAAAATAAGAAATAATAACAACTTGGAGCATTTGGACCAATCAGAATAAGAGCGGAGCCGGAGCGGAGCCGGAGCGGAGCCGGAGCGGAGCCGGAGCGGAGCCGGAGCGGAGCCGGAGCGGAGCCGGAGCCGGAGCGGAGCCGGAGCGGAGCCGGAGCGGAGCCGGAGCCAGAGCGGAGCCAGAGCGGTTAAGAGCGGGGCGAGGCTAAGTCTGACAAAGATCACTTTTAGGCACCTTGAGGATTTAAATATGTATTTAAAAGAAAAGATGTGTTGTGATAATAGGATGTGTTGTGATATTGGGTGGGTTTCCTCTGGGCACTCAGATTTCTCCGATCAACCCAAAACATGCAGAATGGTTCAAATCCTCCAACTAATGGAGGACGTACACTGTGTGATATTTTTGATCGTTTCACTCAGCCCCAGCTCAAACTGTACAACCAAATCACAGGGTTTAAAAAGTCACTGCTCACGATTCATATTCTCACACTGTACGAACGACTTCAACAGAGAGAAACTCTCACGGGAGACGACTGAATTTCAAGCAGGTTCGATTTTCTTGTGACCTACAACTGCAGATCGAGAGCTGGTCTTGAGGTATTAATGATTCTTGTTACATCATGTAAACTACATGAAGCAAAGCCAAAAGTTTTCCTGATAACAAAAAAAGTTGCACAAGTGAAAAACTGTCTCAGAAAGAGCCAAAAATTTCACAGTGTACAGTGAGATAGTCCTGACAAAGACCAGCTGATGATCTGGAGATGGGCCCCACTGCTCCTGACAGATTCAACCCAGACACTGAAAGACGGGACTGTTAAAACATGATTAAAAGTTCATAAAAGTCAGTTTGAATACATCATCTTTAAGACTTCTCTGTGAGTCTCCCCACGTCTTTGTAATAGAGAGGTCTGTCCCATTTTGGTCTGTCCCATTTTGGTCTTTGTTTCACATTTACATCCATCGTCATCATGTGCTGACTCAGACAAACCCACTCACCTCACATTGAATCAATAATACATTTATAAAACACATTATAGAGAATACAGGAGGGGAGGAGGAGCTGATGAAAATGGGGAGAAGGTACATGATTGACCATTACTTTCTCTTAAAATAAAACAGCTGAAGTTCAATCAGTAAAATGCCATGTCCCAAATGTGAGGAAATGTTTTGAAATGACCAAATAAAAAAAATACAAATGAAGGAAGGTAGATATTTTAGCTGCTTTAATTTTATACAAATCCTGGTTTCCCCAATTCAACACAGCAAGAAATCCCTGTGGAGATTTGTCTTCTGCATTTGACCCAGACCCATCTTTCAGAGTCTCTGGGTTGAATCTGTCAGGAGAAGTGAGACTCATCTCCAGATCCTGAGCAGGTCTTAGTTTGGATTGTAGTCCTCACCAACCACTCTCAACACCGGTTCCCCCCAGGTCAGATTGTTAAATTTGCAGATGACACTGCTGTTGCTGTTGTTGTGGGTTTAATCTCGAAAAACAACGAGCAGGCAAACAGACAGGAGGTACAGCTGCTGGAGACCTGGTGCAGAGCGAACAACATCTGCCTGAATCCTTTAAAGACAAAGGAGTTGATAGTGGAGTTTAGGAAGAGCAGCTGTTCATCACCGCCTCTCTACATCATGGGCACAGAAGTTGAAAGGATGTCCTGCTGGAAGTATCTGGGTCTGCACATCACCGACAGACTAACTTGGTCCACTAATGCAGCCAGCATTGTAAAGAAGGTCCACCAATGCATGGACTTTTTGAGGAGACTCAAGGCTGCTGGACTGGACCTCCATGCCCTCATCTCTTTTCATAGATGTGGGGTGGAGAGAGTGTTGACCCAGTCCATCACAGTGTGGAACGGCCACTGCTCAGTCCAAGACAGGAAAGCTCTACAGCGTGTGCTCAGAGCGGCAGAGAAGATCACTGGATGTGACTTTACACCCATCAGTGACATTTACGAGGAGCGCTGCAGAAGATGGGCCTCCAGGATCATGGTTTACCCTTCCCACCCCTCCCACCCTGAGACTGAGGAGCATTAAAGCCACAACATCTCGGTTGAAGTTCAGTTTTGTTTTTTATCCTGAGGCTGTCAGACTTTTGAACAGTGCATCCTGACTTCCTGCTTGTGCTGCCTCTGGGTCCTGGTCAAGTGGTAACGGAGGAAACGGGCAGATTTTTGACATTCAAATGTCTCTTATTCAGAAACTAGAGGGACTATTGAAATAAGTAAAGTATCAGAATGTAGGAAAGAGTTACACTCCAACAGGGTCAAGTTAAACCTGTGATATTCTTTCAAGTTGTTGACAAAAAATAAAAAAAACTGTCGGTAATGGAGGGAATGAAATATGCAGCACTTTTTGGGCAATAAATCCAAACAGTGATAACTCTTGGTTCTCACTTCCATATCCTTAACAAACTGGTTTGAATATTTGCTTCATATACTTTTCTACCATATGGTACAAGATTAGGTTGAAAAACCTCTTACTTTTTGACTCATGAGATTTTTTATTAAGAAAGGTCATGGTAACGGAGGGAAAAGTAACAGAGGGAAAATTGTACAAACAAGTAGAAGGTGCAGGATTTTACATCATTTGTCGCTTTTTTCTTCCGAATACTTTAATATTACTTCAAAATTAAAGGAAACTATTTCTATAAAATATGTCAGTCCTTCCAAGCTAATTTTTATCATTTTAAATATATATATTTTTTAATTCATGTACCTTGATCAACAGTTCAGAGATGGAAAAACACAAGATATGATGAAATACATCCATTTATTTACATGATTTGCAGGTCTTTGAAATTTGAAAATAATTTTTGTTGCATGTTTCATACATGGAACAACGTTTAAAACGTCTGTAACTTTAGAACCAAAAATGGTACAGAGAAAAGGTCAACAGTTTCATAAACTAGAGAACATATGTATCTGTTCAATACATTTTTATATCAGATGCATTAACTTTTTGGCCTTGCTGTTTACTTCTGCTTGACCGAGCCCCTCTCTATCTTGCCACATTTTACTTGTACTTGTCTATTGGAACTGCTAAATGTTGTTTTGATGTACTTACATTTTAAAATTGCTTATTTATTATTGTTTTTATCTCTTTCTGGATCACTGAGCTTCGGGGAGCACATTCGTTCTGTCATGTGTTTCTCTCACACGCTTGAATGACAAATAAAGAACCTTGACCTTTGACCTTGATTCTGGAGTTTTTCTATTGTGCATGTTTTGGAGATAAATTGGATAGAGTAGAAAAGTACACTGCACACCTGCTTGAACTTACTTTCTGAGGGATTTTTGACAAGAATCACAAAGAAAAATAGTTTAAAAAGTTGTTAAATTCAACTTAAAATGGGTGGGAGGGGTCAGATGGAAGTTCAAAGGTGCATTGTGTAACTTTTCTGGTCCGTCAAATGCTTTTCTTCATGGAGATATTATTATTGCATTTATCAGACCAAGTTACAGGTCAGATCTGTGGAGAGGCGACCCCGCTCACAGTCAGAATGTTTGGTTTTTTAGGTGTTTTTGAGCTATAAAATCACCTATAGTTGAATAAATGTGGAGTAGAGTTGATTAATGTCACACTGTGGAACATTCCAGACAGAGCAGTGACATCTCCACAGAAACAAGCAGGTGACCAAAATAAAAAGTTACATATTGCTGGGACACTTTTTCATTCCACAGGGTAGACCAACAGAAACGTGGCTGTAAATCTGCCCCCAACAGCCCCACTCACTGACCGACTCACCCGACCACCGTCACTCATACAGACAAGTGTCAAGGGGAGTGTCTTGCCCAAGGACACAACAACAGCTGGTCTGAGCGTAGGTTACATTCACGTGACGTCACAACATTGTAGAGTCTCTAAAGTTCAAACAGAACTGGAGACGGGTCAGAATCCTCAGGTGGAGTTTGACCCGGTTCATTTTCTTTGTCATTCCAGGGCCTGTCCACATGAAACAAAAACTGGAGCAAAGTTCAGCGTCTTCTCTGTCAGTATAAATAAACAAAAGTCAAATTATTTGTTCACAACAGCTTCAGAAAGTGGTGCCATTATTCAACCCTGAAGATGTAAATGTTGTCAGCTGAAAGATCTTCAAGACGTTTATGGAGCCAAAATTTAAAAACAAAAATTATCCAAAAAGTGTCTGGTTTGAATCTGATATTTTCATTTATTACCAAACCCAAGAACTCACTATATTACAACAGGGACTGTCCAGGATTTTTCCTCATGTATTTGAGCAAACTGTGTCTTGTCCAAGTGCAGATATATTGTATAAAGTGAAAATAAGTCT